GGGGGGGGGGTGTTTCTCCAAAATTATAATATCTTCAGTAAAACATCTTGATGCTTTTATTGTGCAGAAAGTTTCAATTTCTTTTTAAAAAACCGTAGCTGACTGGGAGTTCATTGTAAGCTATTTTCCAAAGAATATCAGCTATAATTTTTACAAGGACTTTTTTTTATGGTAGTATGTACTTACTGTCCCCTAGATGTATGAACCAGCAGTGTGATTAATGTAGAAGTAGCTGGGCATATACAATTTAGAGCTAGCATAGCATATTTGAATTCCTCTTCACACACAACATGATCTGTAGAAAAAAAAGATGATATAAATTGTTTACAAAAATACTTTCCATTTAATAGAATTATCACTTCCTTTCCTTGTCTAGGAAAATGGTGAAGATAGGGACAATCAAAATTTCCCTCTGGATCATCTTCGACGAACCTGGAGAGCAGCTGTGTATGATTTGCCCATCTATGCTATCTCTCAGGTTGCATGAGTAGAGTTAATTTTGCATCCAGTTCATACTTTCTGTCCTGCAGCTACACAGGGACAGGATGCAGTGGCTCTGTGAATCCCACCTCCACTGTCTTGCTGCACTAGTTGTACGAGTAAGCCATGTAGCATAGTCTAGTTTGTATCTTGCACCTTTTGCAGTTTTGCATAAACTGCTATAGAGGCATCAAGCATTGTGCAGATACATAATTTTGTGTTCAGGAAATAGCATACCTAGGATACTGCAATGCAGGAGTGCTGGTCAATTGTACTGGCTTGCAGACCGGTTATTTGGTGGTGGCTCTGGGATTTTGCACTGCACTTCAGTGTGTGACGTAGATTTGACTAGAAACTGCTAAAAGCTGCTGCCTCCTTGTAATCTAGGCAAGGGGGGTGGTTTTGTTTTCTTTTCCAGTTTTTTGCAACTTTGCGTTCTTTTTACCCCAGTCCTTGTCTGGCTTTTGTAATCACAAAATTGTGCTTTAAGAGTCCTCATGAGAAAGTATGTCTGCACATTAGTACTCACTGTGATGGGAACAGTACTATAGACACACCTATCTTTTTTTTTTTTTTCTTTTAATGGGATTTAGGGGAGGGGAAGTGAGAAGAGAAAGCAACAGAGACATTATATCTAGTCCTCTATATTGGCTTATACTTAGGACTGCCAAATCTTCTGCACATGCTTTCAGTATTGTATGAATTATTCTTCAACTTGGATGGCTAGTGCTTAAAATTCAGATCACTTTTAAATGCTCTCCAGTGCTGCTCATGGCATGAAAAGGAAATAGAAATTACTCTTTAATGTCATTCACGTATACCTGTGACAGTATTAAAATAGATACAAGAAGGGATAAGCATGAAACATATAACTTAATTAAGCTTCTTGTCAGTGTAGAAACTTAAAGTCATAAAGGTTTTCTAAGGTCATGAAGGCATTTATTGCATGCTAAGTAATTTTTTTTTTCTTCTGACTAGTTTTGATTCAGTCTACATTACTTTCAATGGGAGCAGAATTCACTTCTGATAAGAAAGAATAATACAAGTAGCACACCTGATGATCAAAACATCAGCCATATAAAAATTGCGGAGTAAAAGTAAGCAAATCATCTCCTCACCTAGATCTGAGCTGTCTACATATCTCTACTTCTACTTGCACTAATGTATCATTGAAATCCTTAGAGCTACCTTACCGCTCTAAGCTACTTTCTAGACAGAATTTATAGTATAGCTATAAGCATGCCACTTACTGAAAACAAAAGTGAGGGCATACTTTGTATGCCTTTTCTATTCCTTTTTTTGAAATTTGTAGAGGCTTTTCAGAAACAGAATCATTAACTACTGAAAGGAGAAATTCATTCTGTCATTTTCTGAAGATCAAGGCCTATTTAAATGTCATAGGGAAGGAATGAATTTAGTTGTATAAAGACACTGTCAAATATAGAACTAAATGAGATTTTTCCTCCCCTAAGTATATTTCAGTTATAGCAATTAAGTATTTCCTGCAGAAAATATTTCAGACAGAAATGTGTTCTTTTAGTTGACTATGTGCCATTAATAAAAAAATAAATTTGAATTTTAAACTGGAGATCTTGAGCAAGTAAGGCATAGTCTACTGCTTGGATGGAATACCTGCATTACATTACCATAAGTCAGATGGAAAAGATTTATGAAAGTGAATATTGACTTCCTGATACTGAAGGAATGAGAATTCTCCATATTTTTGAATTTGTATAGGATTTTGCCAAATAACCTCCCCTATTTTTTGTTTAGAATGTTGTTATATTATAGCTAATGCTTTTGAAAATAGGAGCAAGAAAAAATTTACAGGAAAATTATTTCATCATCTGATATTTTGGATCTTGTACTTGAACTAAAGTGTACATGCTGACCTAAATATATATAAATGAAAATGAATAAATCATGGATGGCATAATGCAAATGAAAAGTGTATCTCAGATTTAAATCCTCCATATGTTCTATTACTCTATAACATATATGGTAGACTTTTTGGATGGATTTTATGTAAAATATTGTGCTAACAGATAATATAGCACACAGCAAACAGAGATTGCTGTCCTACAATAGTCATCTTAATCTCATATGTGTAAGAGATTCACATTGTATTGTCAAGTTTTTTTACATCAGGAGCCATGGAGTTGGGACTTGTAGGACTATTTCAACTCCTGTTGTAGACTTTGAACTTGTGTGAGCTATTTATGCCCTTTGTGACTTTTTACGCATCTGTAAAATGGGTATATGAAAATAATACCCTACATACTTCAGAAGTATTATGAAGCTTTTGAATTCTCAGAGGTACTTTGAGAATACCAGGTGAAAGATTCTTCAGTGATCTAATTACCATGATTAGAAATATTGTAGCCATTTGAAACTTCAAGAAAGGTAGTATGGGTTTCTCCTCTTGGCTGGAGTTCAGTTCTTGTATTAGACACAGATCAGGTCAAAAATAATTTGCTTGTTTCTCCAATTATTTGACAGATTATAGCTTGCCTATAACATTACTGTGTCTCATATTTATGTCCAGGGCTTTTACTGTAGAGCTGCGGTGAGGGTTATACAGAACTTTATCTGACACTTTCTCTTCTAAAGTCAGTAGGGAGGAAGCTCTGGGTGACAGCTCTGCGATTCCTCACATCTGGGACATCAGTCAGATCCTGTGACAGTGGATACTAGAATTGGCAAATTACTCATTCAGTATGGCAGTGAAGCAGCAGAGGGAATTGCACTTTATCTTGAATTGAACATAAAATGTCAGATCGGTTTACCAAACAGAAGTATTCTGATTGCATTTATACTAAAGATATATTCCACTTAGAATTTCCAGAAGATGTAGTTTTTCTTGAAAATATATTTTGACAGAAAATTTATTGTTAAGTCTGTCTCAAATAGATGTAGTAATGCAGTGCGGTCAGTTATGATTTCTGTAATGTTCTTGAAGATAAAACATACTCAAAATACTGATTTATGCCTGCAGCATCAACCATGTGGTAAGAATGTCCTAGACCTGACACAATTATTCTGAGAAATCTTACTTTTGTCAATTTGATAAGTTAACATGATCACTACCAGACCAGATAGAGGAAAAATGCCCATCCATTATCTCTAGACTATTTTTATCTGTAATTGGATAGATTAATCATCAGATGCATTCAATATCCATTTCAGTGAATTTGGACTATGTGCCTTTCAAATAAACTACTGAAGGTTTAATGTCAGACTTCACCAATCTGTGCTAATTCATTGGTGCATTTTGAATAAATAATGTCAAAATGTATCCCCAGTTCCTGGAATTGTGATTATACATAATTTCTGAATGTTCAAGGTAAAGGCAATTAATTTATTTTCTAGCAAATATATAAAAGTTCAACTCAGAAAATATGCAATTTACTCCAGTCTCTGAATTGCATGAAGATATTGCTTTGCTGTGGACAGTCTTAACTTTATTTCATGTTTATGCTGAAATGCAAGGCCAGATGCATGCATTAAGGGTACATGGCCTTTTGTAGCCTGATGTGTTTGAAGGAAAAGCAGGAAGATTAAGAAAACCATATGTAACTGCCAGTGAAGGAAAATGCAGTATTGCTGAAACAAAAACTGGGCATGTCAAGGCAATGGTATATTGGAAATTACTAAGGAGGAGGAGTAATCAAAGCATTTCAGCTTAAGACATAAGACAGTTAACAATGGTGATACAGTGTCTCCTTGCCTATCTGATAACTGTCATGTTAGAGGGACTGTATATTTCTAGAGTGTTCACACCTTGAACTTGCAAAGGAGTTTGCTGGGAGAAACACTTATGCCCTGTGCTTTTCAGATTCCACTGAAGAATCATATTCAAGCACAGAGAAATATTTCCACTGTTTTAATATAAGCGTAAGTTACCATTTTAAACAAAGTAGTTAAACTCCACTGTAAAAAACAGAGAAAATGCAGGATGCAAGGGTGTGTGTCTGGCATCAGGTGAAAAGAGAAGAAACCTGCCTTTCTACACAGGGTAATATGGCCTGTCAAAGTGTCTCCATTCTCTTGCTGTGATGACAAGAACAAGTTCTTGTACTCTCATTAAAGAGAGAAAGAATGTAAAAGTCTTGCTACCAGATGGGAATAAATTATAACAATTGCTTGTCCTATATACTGTTTCTGAAGCCTAAGGCAGAAAATCTCCAGGATGCTATTCTACAGGAAAATGCAGTCAAGGTCTAAATTTCAGGACTGCCTCATGCCATCTAGGATGACTGGTCAACCTAATATACTCTGCTGAGAAACTGGGCTTGTAGTGTTTTATAAATTTTCAATGTACTTAAAAGTTAAACTTTTGTAAGGAGGACTTTCCAGAACTCTTTGGTTGTATTTTTTCTAAATCCAGAAACTTTCTTTTTGACAGTTGTAGTCTCTAAACCTGTGTGTGAAGAAAAAAAAAAAAAAAAAAAAAAAAAAAAAAAAACTCTTCATTAAAATTTATAGTG